TTTTTTTTTTTTTATGGATGGGCGCTTTTTATTTAACTTATTTTGGACTGATGCATGCAACACCCGCTGAGTGGCATTAAACAGCTTGAAAGATCAAAGATAATTTTTAATATAACTCCGACTGGATTCGTCTGAAAGAAGAAAGTCAAATACACCTAGGATGGCTCTGGGGTGAGTAAAACACAGCCTAATTTTCATTTTTGGGTGAACTAACCCTTTAAATTATATTATAGGCTGCTCAACTCATTTGGGTTGAACATTGTGAATTTTCTTTCTCCACTTTCTAGCTGAAGCAGGATTTAGAAGCTCAGCTGAAGCAGGTGAAGATTCTGGAGGGAATGATGAAAGAATTGTGCACACACAATGTAAGCTAAAGAAATGCCAGGCATGGAATATGTACAGTTGTTTTGTTGTAACCGTGCAAATAACGTATATATATTTTTGTATTATGTATTGAATAAGTTTAATTCTTTGAAAATGTGTGAAATATTAACTTAGTTACCATATTGTATTTCTTTATTTACATTATGTGCAGAGAAAGGAATTGTAGAATGGTAAATAAATGTATATAATGTTGTATTAAAGGAAAATGTCTAATCTAATCCCTTACACTATTGAAAAAAATAACACTAAAGAAAGAAATCAACACATGATTATGATTGGCACCATGCTGCTTTTTTTTATTGCTAAAATGTACTTTTTTGTACAAAACCATGCGGGGTGCATCTGTAGTGCATAGATCAGACTAAGCATAGAGTTTCACATTCAGAGGCAAAATCAGCAACGCAAATCAGGTCAAAGCATATAAACTTATGTTCTGCACTATTTGCATTGAACATGAATAAGAACTTCTCATTTTATCCCATTTAAACTCATTTGTTGGTTTTGCTAAAACTTACTGTATCTTGCCTCTTGAAACACAGACTTGTTACATTTTCATAATGCAATACACAAATCCAAAAAAGTAACATTTAATGAATACATCTGTGAATAATTTACAGTAGCGATAAACCTTTGGGATTTCATGCATTTGAAAAGAAAAACACAACATTGGTTCACTCATAGATTTATCACATTTCTGCATAAATATGTCCAAGCAAAGTTTAATTATTGCATGCAGCACAAAACATTTCTTATCCACTTCTACCATGCATCAGCAAATGTTTTTTTGCACTCTTATTAAAAAATACTAGTTGATTCCCAATGGATCTTTTTAGTTTTGTGATATATTGTTTACCCAGGATTCACTGAGACAATGAATCATCAGAGTGTCACAAACTGCTACAAAAACACTGCTCATATTCCTGTTAATGAAAATAAGCTGTAAATATACATACAGCTTATGTGCGTTCCACAATGGTTTGTATGTAAACATGCAAAGTCAATAGAAGGGCATAAGCCCTGCATATATATATTTACTACCTATCAACTTTCTTCCACCTGTCCAAAATATAAAAGTTCTTTAAAATTTGTCAGACCCTTGGTGTTACCTTCACATATTTATTTGGTGTCAATGAATAATGGGGCTGTTAAGAGCTAGTTCTGTACTACGAAATATGAGCAATGTGATGCTCTGGATCAAACACTTACCACTGTCACAAATATGCTACAGATTTCTATTTCACAAACACTACTGAACTATTCCGACACTATAATTCATGCATAAACTAATTATTGCTTCTAAACGTTGAACTTAATACACATCATGGCTTGCATATCTTTGAGTATATTTAAAAATATAGTTTGCATTCCAGTCATTGAGGTATTTATCTACATTACAATGCTTTGATAATTGCTTTATGCCACTTAATATACTACATGCTACTTGAAAATCTAAAGTTTCTGCTACTAGGAATAATCTACCCACAGCTCTAGTCTGAGACACCATAACCTGATGGAGAATGTAATATTAGAGGTATGAATACAAACACAGTTCTAGGTTACCCTTTCTAATCAGGACGAGAATACTGTAGTCTTCTTTGTGTTTGATTATTACAGACCAAATAGCATTTCAGTATCTACTGTTTTGTTTCCGTAATAAGGAATTATCTTAAAACAGGTATCAAATTAAACTCTTCACTTCAACATCTGTAATATCTTCTAAGCCAGCAAGCCAAATTTCCTGCCCGTTAGGGACTGTCATTTTGATCGGAGTCAACTATTTTGGGCCCAGAACTTAATTTTGCACAGTACAAACTAGGACAAACTCACACAGTGCTTATGAAACATATATGTATTTCAGCATGGCTAGCCGCATGTCAATACCAACCACCATTTTTCTAATCCTCAGCATGCTACAATACATTATTATTAACTAATAGTGATTACCTGTGAATAAACAACTGTGTTTGTCGATTAAAAACTAATATGAACAAACTCAGCACAGGTGAGCACAATGACTCGCCTAGTCGCCTCAATCAAATCGATCGAGATGTGGATGCTGCATCCATGGTGGTTATTAACTAAATCATTATCAGCCTAATTTTATTTTCTAAACAACTTTATTATAGCATATACTGAAAGTCACTATGACTATTAAACTCAGCAAGCATCGCTACCGTACATGCATGGCCATGCTTATGCTGGCACTACAAATCCCGCCACCCTAAAGCAAGCGGATGAAACTATACATTATTTAATGGAAGACATTGGTGATTTTGTTGTTTTTGCGAACAACTTGTCACTTGTTTGTACAATATACATATTCATCTCAAAACAAGACAAAGGAAAGAAACAAATATTGCACATTTCCCACACTGAGGCCTCACTACTCTTTCTCCCATGAAAATTCATACTCAGTACAGACTCTTACTTCTACCAATACATTTGATAGAAACTACTGTATCAAAAACAAAAGTTGGGTACATTTTCTCAACACAGATGAAGTTAAATTCCTATGCTCACAGTGCACTGTAGCTGAGGACCGAGCACAGGCTGTGACCAACTTGCCGTAATCTATTTGAGGTGATACATTAAAACATACTAAACTATTAACAACTATTTCAAAACATTGTGACCAAGGTCTAACATTTAACCATTCTACTGCCTTTCTTCAGGCGTAATGAGGATAATAACCATGAGAATGTTACTGGATGAAAATGGCATGTTTATTCCACTCTACATGTTCTCTTGGAAAACATGTAGGACTCATAGAGACTGGCAGCCAAACCTTTGGAATAATTCTTTTTTTGTTTGTTTTTTTATGTATTTGATTTTACGTTTTTATGCTCACCAAGGCTATTATTTGATAAAAAATTCTGTAAAAACAGTAATATTGTAAAATATTACTACAATTTTAAATATTTAATATATTTCAAAATGTAATTTATTCCAGTAATGGCAAAGCTCAATTTTCAGCATACATTGTTCCAGTCTTCAGTGTCACATGATCCTTCAAGACACAATCTAATATGCTGATTTGGTGCTCAAGAAACATTTCTTATTTTTATCAATGCTGAAAACAATTTTTGCTTCCTTAATATTTTTATGGAAACTGTGATACACCTCCTTGTTTAGTTAATTTAAAAGCTAGGATAAGTATGATTTTAAAAAATTATAATTTTATTCAACAAGAATGCATTAAATTGATCAAAAGTGACAGTAAGGACAATGATGTTAAAAAAAAAAATCTATTTCAAATAAATACTGTTCAGTTAATTTTCTATTACCCAAATCATGTAAAAAATATCTCATGGTCTCCACAAAAATCTTAAGCAGCAAAAACTTTTTTCTACACTGATAACAATAATGAAGGATAATGTGACACCAAGTAATGCCTGCTGAAAATTCAGCTTTGCCATCACAGGAATAAATAAAAAAAAATGTTTTAATATTCAAATAGAAACCAGTTATTTTAAATTGTAATAATATTTCCCAATATTACTGTTTTTACTGTATTTTTTATCAAATCAATGCAGCCTTCGTGAGCAGAAGAGACTTCTTTCAAAACTTAATTATTCCAAACTTTTGGCCGCCAGTGTCAAACCAGTGAACTTCAAGGTCTCTATATGATTTGTGTGATATTCCCAAAACCTATTAATATAATAATGTACAAAAAGTGAAAAGAAACATGCTCACTCCTCTTCCAACTGATTCCCAAACCATTTGACAGACAATGACTCTATTTACATCACCGTGAGAAAAGCATGTGAATATCGGTTGATCGGAGTGTGGGTCTGAGCTGTGGTAAGTTCTGAGGTAGTAAAATAATTATAATTAATTATGTCCTGCATCTCATTAGCACCCCACTCCCACTAGAAAGGTTTAACTGTGGAATTTATAAAGCTTATGCTCAGGTCAGTGTGCCACACTGTCGGTCTTGGTTTCTCAAGTACACAGAAAACATGATTCATGGTTTTGCAAAAGCACCAATATGAGTTCTGAATTAAGAGAACAGCTATCTGTCTACAGTTTGTTGTCTCAGAAATTAAATTTTCAGCCATTTTAAGACTAAATAAATGACCAAGTAGTGCTTTACTTGTAGGTTTAAAGCTAAGCCATGGAAATAGACAAGCAAGAGACAGAAGCTTTTCAAAAGAGATGTGTCTAGGCACTTAATCTGCAGATAATAAAATTGTTGGATGAAGCTACTTTATCTTGCTTGCATGATTTCGTTTTTAAATGTACATTTGTTTTACCTGCAAAGCAAGTGCACTTTCGCCATTTCCTTTTTCACTTCACTTTAACACAACCTGCAACATATAAGTACTCCACTTGATTTATTTATAACAAATATGACCAGATGATGCTCTTTACTGTGGCACAATTGTGTTACTTTTTTGGACACATGATGAGTTTATGGTTCTTTCATGGATAAAAACAACTTCAGTTGTCGTCTCCAAAGTGCAGAGATGATATTTTCATAGACCAGTGACAGTTGGTATGTTGAACAAACACTTCCCTGAAATAACGCTGGAGGAAAGTCAACTTATCGGGATGGAGAGCAGTTTGAAGAACAAAGACATGACGATCTTTTCTGCACAGAATGGACATTTGAATCAGATCAGATAAGGCAAGGAGGTAGGGCTGGGTTGACAATATTGATCATGAAGTTGTCATGAAGTTACCAAAAAGGCGATTAACGCTGAACTGTGCAAATTCATTATATAGGAGTCACATTTAAGAACATGTCTCTGAAATGCAGTGGTTTTCAAAACTGTCCTGGAGCAGCCCAGCACTGTCTCCCTCATCTAACACACCCGATTCAACTCTTCAGGGGGATATTCCAGAAAGCAAGGTTAACTTGGCGTCACATTTACCCTAAACTTGTTTGGGATTAACCCAACCCTTGGGTGAGTTGGCTCCAAAAAGCATCCAGGAGAAAGTTCAGTCAACTCAGAGTATGTTCACGGTTAACACACAATACATACTCAACAGAGCGACGAGTCACCATGGAAATGGACGCTAAGAAAATGCGCACCATACTGCTTCTTTCTTCTTTTGTTCAATGGACATTTACATACTTTGTGCACAATATTAAATATTATTACAATAAAGTTATATAAGTCACTTTCACTTCAATTATATATATATATATTATATATATATATATATAATATATATATATATACATATTAATAATAATATCATATATATATTTATATATATACAGTATCTCACAGAAGTGAGTACACCCCTCACATTTTTGTAAATATTTTATTATATC